TGTGTGTGTGTGTGTGTGTGTGTGTGTGTGTGTGTGTGTGTGTGTGTACCACAGCATGTGTGTGGAAGTCAGAGAACAACCTGTGGGAGTTGTTCACCTCCATCCTGCAATTATGATCAAACTCAGGTCATGAGGCTTTGTGCAAAGGCCCTTACCAGCCGAGTCATCTCAGGAGCCCTAAGTTACACCGTAAAATGACCCAGAGCATAAGCATTGTGATGGACAGTGAGTGTTACTCTTACGGTGTTGCTGTTATTGTTATTAACCTTGGGGCACCAGCTAGAGACATCTGGGGGGTCCTAAGCTGCCTTTAAGAACTAGTTTCCAATCTCCAGTCTTGAGATTGGCCAGAGCGTACAGCTTCATTTGCAGCCTGGAAGGAGTTTCTTTCACTGCGGCTTGGCCTCCCCCATCATCAAGTAAACAACCCTGACGTCATGAGTGCTGCATCCCAGACACCCCAGATGGTAGCTTAATAGCCTGAAAGAATTAATAGCACACCTCTGAGCACAGTATTCACCCAGAGAATAGTTCAGGCAATGCAAAGAACCTGGCCCATTATAGCCCGCACAATCACTAAAGAATATGCAATCACAGAAATGAATATGACATATGGTGATCTCTTTACTATATTGAGATTCATTGTAATAAAAGTGCTGCTCAAAATCCTCACGGAAATTTGAAAGGCATACCTTTTTTTTCTGGGAGAAACATCACAATAAGACAGGCTAGTCCTCCAAGGCACAGAAACGCTGCTAGCGTCCGCTTCCGACCAAACCTAAACAATAGGAGGAAATCACATGTCTCTTTAAAAGATCTTATAAAGTCGTCTTCCCTTTCCTGCAACTTTCCTACTTAACCGTCCTCAATTTAATTTTGGTAGGAGTGTGTGGCAAGTGTATCTGGTCAGGAGACAGATCAGGATATAAGCAAGCATGAACACGGGAACCAGCTGGTGGGAGGATCGTGAACACAGGACCTCCCTCAGTCCTCATGACAAACATGCAGGCATGTGCTGTAATCCTCTCCATCTTTTTGAGTCTGAAGCTGATAGAGAGAATGGAGTCCTCTAGTTCGTTTTATTCTCTGGTTACCCTCCTCTTATGGTGTTGACATGTTTAAATACAAGGGATGGTGGCGCTTTTTTATTTATCTTTGTCTCCATCTTTTAGAATATAAACAAGAAAAATTCTTGTTAGTGGTTTCAATACAAGTAAAATGTATTACACAGTTTAATTTCCAAGTAAGAAGTCTACTCTTGGAAAAAAGAAACCCCATTAATCTCCATTCTCCAGGAGCCAGCAATAGGCTGTGAACTTCAGTATTTTTATTATGTATATAATGTTCTTTTTGTGTGTGTGTGTCTTTTTTTTTTTTTTAACATTCTACCATTTTGGTTATTTTATTTAAAAATTTTTTAATTTATAACAATTTATTCATTTTGTATCCTAGTTGTAGTCCCCTCCCTAGACCCCTCCCTATCCTGCCCTCCCTCCCTCCCTCTTCCAATGTTCTGTCTGCATGTACACCTGCACACAGGACACCAGATCTCACTATAGATGGTTGTGAGCCACCATATGGTTGCTGGGAATTGAACTAATGACTTCTGGAAGAGCAGCCAGTGCTCTTAACCTCTGAGCCATCCCTCTAGCACCATGAACTTCAGTGTTTACTTGTAATTCTGATAACTAATTTGTCAGGGTAATTTTAAGATTACCCTGTTGGCTTTAGACTAAGTATAAACGGAAGCTTAGCGTGGGAAGTTACTGAAGTCAGGAAGCTAACACGCAGGTCAGACTAGAAGGAAACCCAGGTCTGCTTGATCCCAAAGCCCCTGTTCTTCTCCCCTTTACATCTTAGTCCCCCCTTAAGGCAGTAGCTTCTGGAAAGCAGGAAAGGTCTGATGTCTTCTTGACAGCTATTTTCCATGTTATTTTTAACAGCTAGCATGGAATGACTTTTGAATGACATTGACCTAGGCAAGCCCTAAGCATAGGCTACCTTCATGAATAGCTTCCTGGTGATGCTAGAAATGGCCATCAGAGGTTTAACTACAAAAGAGGAGGAGGATGCGTCCTTAGAGCGATGCTGCGTGTGATGGCTGGGACCACGGTGAGAGGAAGTGATGGTCACTAGCAGAGGGCTCAGGCAAGGCATCTGCAATACCCTCTAGGAGAAAAACCTTCAACTGAGCCGAGTCCTGCATTTGGGCTGCTGGGCTCTCAGCTGAAGCATGCTGGCAGGTGTGGCAGGTGATTCAGGGCTGGAGCTACAAAGGGCATTAGAGCTCATGGCCCAATGCTTTCCTGGCTTTTTCCTTCAGCTCCCTAGCCCACTCCTATTCTCAGCAATGTTTTACTCTTTGCTTTAAAAATAAAAATCAACAAGAACCTGGAACAGGCTGGTCTGGCATTTACCACTTGTTTCCTGATCATTCTCATCTCTCCTTCAGATGCTGGCCAAAGGCTAAGCATATTTTCCTTGGCACTGGGATGGCACTGTTTCTCTGACCCCCGTGTATAACTTAAAGGTATGGCATTCTCGCCATCTCTCCTCTCTCTGGGTTTCCAGCCTGCCTGCCCCATCCTTTTTTCTTTGAAACTCTAATAAAACTGTCCTCAAGCTTCCTTCCAAGTCTGTTCCTAAATTCTTTTATTAATGAGGCTAATTAACCCCCAAAGGAATCTTGGTTTCCTGAGAAACAGTAGCATGCTATGCAATATTATAGTTTAGGTTGAAATGATAACGTCAACAAGAAATGGAACAACGCAACCGGTCTCTTGCTCACTAAATAACAGAGGGGGAAAAAAAAAACCAGACAGACCAGGATGCTGAGTTCTATAAAATAGCATTTGGAATTTCACTCCTTTGCTCATGAAAGAAAAAGCAGGGCATACTCTGCCCTTCAAAGGAGTCATTAGGAGGCAGGGAGACTTTCTAGCTCTGTCAGGTTTTATCTTCTGCTTAAAAGAACTTCTGAATTCTGAGGTGACGGGAGTCTGTGTACATGGAGCTAACAAGCACATTGCCCAGGCCTATGTATGGGTCTGCATTGACTACTCCACATCCCTCCAGTGGAGTACCTTTTACACTGCGTTACAGCCTGCATAAGAATCCACATACACAGAACTCAAGAACCACTACATAAGAAGTGAGCTTATCTGGGCTGCTTCCAGGTTCCGGCTATTACAAAGAAAGCTGCTACAAACATGCCTAAGCAAATGTCCTTACTGTGCACTTGAACAGGGGTCTTTTCTGAGACTGATACTCCAAACAAGGACCATTGATGGAGATAACCTAGAACCCCTGCACAGATGTAGCCCATGGCAGCTCAGTGTCCAAGTGGATTCCATAGTAGTGGGAACAGGGACTGCCTCTGACATAAACTGATTGGCCTGCTCTTTAATCACCTCCCCCTGAGGGGGGAGCAGCCTTACCAGGCCACAGAGGAGGACAATGCAGCCATTCCTGATGAGACCTGATAGACTAGGATCAGAGGGAAAGGGAGGAGGACCTCCCCTATCAGTGGACTTGGGGAGGGGCATGAGTGGAGAAGAGGGAGGGGGTGGGGCTGGGAGGGGAGTAGGGAGGGGTTTATGGGGGGGATACAAAGTGAATAAACTGTAATTAATAAAAATTAAAATAAATTAAAAAAAATCAACAAAAGTGAGCTTATGTACATTTAGTCTGAGAGAACTCTGATGGGCTGGGCATGCGCTGTCTATGGCCAAAGGGCAAAGCAGTCGGGCATGCACACATGGGGGAATGTGTGTACACTGCAGTCATAGCCTCTGCCGTTTGCTTCCTTGTCACCCATACTCACCATCTTTGGTTAATCAGGTAGATGCAGAGAGGGTAGGATGGAATCTCTATGAGGCCAGATAAAGCCAGGTTGGCATAAATACTCCCCCCTAGGTCACCTGCGCTCAGGGTGAGGCCATAGTACACCAAGCTGCAGACAAACCTGCATTGGGGATTAAAGGGCTGAGAGGTGAGACAGAGTTCATAGGACAGAAACAAGACTTTCAATATAATTGAATGTAACACCAGTTCAATATAATAGCCTCTGCTGTAAGCAATGAGTCTTACTCTCCCACTGAGCTTTCTATCTTAATCTAAACTTTTATCCTATTAAGAAACAAAAGCATAATGGGGCTTTGGGAATGATTTATGTCTATGTATTATAAAAAGCAAATGACTGGACAGTTCCTGCTTGAGGAAAGACATTGTTCCTGCCTCTTCAAGCATTTTTGTACTGAAGTGAAAACAATGGCCCTATTCTTACTTTATTGAGCTTAACAATCTAGGGAACACTGGCTTGTGGCCGTGTGATATTATCAGAAGGATTGGACAGAGCCTCCTATGGAGAAAGCCAACAGGGCATGGCTAGAGAATAGGCTGGATCCTCAGGTGGGTCATCTGCAGGCCACAAATGCCTGGCTCTCTGTCCCCTAGAACCCTAGTCACTTCCCATCCAAGGACTTCAGCAGGCACACATACTATAGAGACCAGGGTAGAAAAGAAAAGGCCATGGTTCACAGCAGAGCAGGGCCTTCTGGGAAGATCAACAGGGAGGGCGGTTCTGAAGAGACGTTAACTCATTTCTGCACACCAGCATTGAAATTCACATTTAGGGAGCACCTCTTCGCCCTGGTATTGTGACAGGCACAAGCCTGCCTCCTGCAGTGCTGAGCCAAGGAGCGCAGCTTAACTGAGTGCCAGCCTGATGCTCCAAATCAGAGTGAAGTGGTCGGAGGAACATCAGTGTCTAGCAAGCTGCTATGTTAAAATCGCAACACGGAACAGCTGGCTCTAAGAATGCCGGGGCTGGCCTTCACTGGCATGTGAGAACCAGTGTTAAACCACAAGTTCCTGCCCAAGTGATAGATTACTTGGGCTTTCCAACTCCACTAGTTCATCCGTTGCAGTTCACCATGGACAAGTTGCAGTTGCTCATCTGCTTCTATTTTGTTTTCCCGGGAAAAAACCTGGTATGCTGTGTTTGCATTGGAGTGCACGGCAAAGGGAACACTTTATTCCTCCCTCTGCCAAAACCACAGCAGTGGGCCAGGTATCCTCGCCTGTGAAGGACCAGCCGTGGAGAGCTGCAATACAGCTCGAAGACAAAGCAGTAGAACATCTGACCTAACTCGTATAATGCCGTAGATTGACTTTTTTATGTCACACACACACACACACACACACACAAGCATCGCAAGTAGGTGCTTCCTCCAAAGCAGCTGATGGGCCACATGATGAGCAAACTCAAAGCTGGGTTGAGCTCTGGGTTCCTGTGCACTTGGCCTCTGCTTCTAACTTGTAGGAACCTTCAATCAGCAGTGTCTGCACTATATTGCAGGTTTGGTTTTTCAGGGGTTCTCTTAACCTCTATGCCTCTAACCCTGGGTCTTTGTTTGACATTCACTATGTATTTATCATTCCCTGGAATATGAGCCCACATAAACTGTCTCCCTGAAACTGCATTCTTCCAAAGGGGCCACCTAGAATCCTGGATGCAGCTTATATTATTAACTCAGAAGCATTCTGAGAGGCAGGCTGGAATATCCTAAGCAAGCGAGTAACAGGTTCAGAGTGTTAACCCTTCATCTACTGACTCAGCATGTGACTTTGTCCAGCCCTTCAACCTCCCAGGGACCCATCAGTGCCAGAGATAACATTTCCAAGAGAGTTAGAGGGGTTCACAAGCAAGCATTGAGGGAAAGGGACCTTGTTTTTGTTTCTGTTTTGTTTTTCTTTAACAGAACAACCTCATGCTGACAAGAGGTCAACCTTTCTCCATCCCTGTGGAAGGAGCAGGTTATCAAGAGACCTTTTAGCATTCAAACTGAAGATTCTGTAACATCTCTCAGAATTACCAGATGAACATCAGGATCAGAGTATGTCCTAGGAGGATCCGGTAACGGAACAGATCCAGGAAGCTCCCAGTTTCCCTGTAGGTCCTGTTGGCCGGATGAGTTAGTGAGAACGTGCACTTGAGCTTGCGGTTCCTCTTGGCAATGAGGTACAGAGCCTCCTCCGCCTCACTCAGTCGACCCTGGGAGTATAACCAACGAGGTGATTCAGGAATGAATCTGAAAGACACGTCATTAAAGGCTGGATATTCATACAGGTGCACGTGCAGAGGAGGGAGGCAAACACCCGCTTTGTAGGTGGCTTCCCTCACCATGGCTCAGTTCCACCCCAAGCCTAAAATACAGCTTCCTGAGTGGCTCATGGGAGCGAACACAGAGGCTGCTCTGAACACCGTGACGGAAAACGGTGGCTCGTTTTATTAGTTGGAACTGAGCACATGATTTTCAAACATTGGTTTCAATAAAAGTAAACAGCTTCCGCTTCCTTTTTAAATCAACTTCAGTAAGTGAATGCCCAGTCTCTAGTACTGAATGGTGCACGCCCTCACAAAGCATAGGTCAGGCACAGCTCTGAGCCCCCACTAGGTGCTGTTGATAGATGATGGAGTAGTGGGCATAACGGAGCTTTATCTTTTCTGAGACGGAGTCTCGCTCTGTAGAACAGGTTGGCCTCATAGCCCAGAATAGCCCTGATCTCAAGACCCTCTAGAGCGCTGGGATTACAGGCATGCACCACCTTGCCTAAACAACTGGATTCTTAAGCTCCGGAAAGTCTTAACATTGAGATAGAAATCTTTATTGAACAAAACATTTTAAAGGTGTTTGTAACATTGACATGTTATTTAGGAGGAAGTGTTACTTTGAGATTACACGGAAGCATGAGACAATGTAACAGATCTTTGTCACTCAGAATGTTCAAACCATTCAATACACCAGCTTTAAAGTGTCTTGATGGCCTGTCCTGTTTCACTGGGGCTGTAAAGAATAAAAGTTGTTGATTAACTTCTAGTTACAGAATAACAGGCATTTCCTGATACAGCCACAAAGTGTTGAACCACTCTGCACTAGGCCACAAGTATCTTCACAGTTTCAAAACTTATACCGTATAGATTTTGCTTCATCATTCTGCCTGTGTTTTCAGAGGGCTTTCCAAAGACAGAATGGCAGAATGGAAGGCTTTTTAAAAATTATAGTGTGTGTGTGTGTGTGTGTGTGTGTGTGTGTGTGTGTGTGTGTGTCCATGTGTGTAGGTTTATATGCTGTGTTCTTAGAGGCCAGAGGAGGGTGTCAGATCTTCTAATCTAGTTATTCTTTGCCTTATGCCTTTGAGCCAGGGTCTCTCACTGAACCTGGAGCTAGGCTGATGGCCAGCAATTCTCTTTTCTCTGTCTTCCACAGTGCCAGGTTACTGGGGCATATGGCCACATTTAGCTTTGTACGTGGATTTCAACTCAATTCTCCACATTTGCAAAGCAGGCACTCTTACCACTGAGCCATCTTTCCAGCCTGGAAGTCTTTATTAAGCACAACATCAAAGTACTGTATTTGTTAGAAGTCCAATCTGACACTTTCTGCCTTAAGTCAAATTCTGATGAATAAAATAGGTATTTCTTTTTTCAGATTCTTTATACTTCTCAATAAGGATGGTGAGAGCAACAAACACTACGGGATCAGGAGATTTAGTAGACAGTCATTCTGTCAAACAACCATTTAGCGAGCATTTCCATTTTATACAGGGCTGTATAATGGGTGCTGAGGGGAGAGATGCTGGAACAAAAAGGAGTTTTTACAGAACTTACCCACTGGGGAAAAAAGACACTCATGTACAACACTGGACTTTCAATCAAAGCCATTTATAATGTCTTGTAAAATTGTTTAGTCACTTCCTTGCTGCCATTTAATTATTGATATTGACTAATAAGTAAATAACCAAGTCCACACTGTTCTGTTGGAAGCTGCATCTGCCAATGATCAGTTGTACCCGCTGGCCCAAGTGCGTGTAAGAGCTACCATGTACAATGATCTGATTGAGTCTTCATATAAACAAATTTAACTGGAAGACAGCTGACCTGCCTATACAGTGAAAAACATATGAAAATAAAATTTAAAATGGGCAAAGTTGGAAGGAGTGAAAAAGAACCAACAGGAAGCATGTCAAAATCCTGATACAATTATCTGGGGTTAACAGAGCCATGTACTCCCCAGCCTTTTTGTGTTTCATCAGCAAAAAAACTCCTTCTGAGACTTCATCAATCATGTTGAAGATGATATCTGAGAGCGAGGATGCTTTCAGAACCCGTGTGTCCTTTTCCCCTGCTCTCTATTGTTCATGTCCTGAAGTCAGTTCCCAGTGAGGGCATTTCCTCATCTAGCACTAAGCAGTAACTAATTCATACTTAGACAAAAAAAAAAAAAAAAAAAAAAAAAAAAAAAAAAAAAAAAAAAAAGGCACAATGGCTCACATCATTCACTGAATTGAATTTGAATTTGCACTGCTATTGAAGGAGAGATGAATGAGAGCCAGGCTAGGTGCAGGGATATATATAAGCTTTGTTAAATATTTGAAAAGAAAATTCATTTATTCATCAATACTTCAATACTTACCTGAGTCCTTATTAACTCAATGCGCTGTATGAAGCACACCTTCATTACTTTCAAAAAGTGCACAATGTGCAAGCTAATAAAGTACTGATATTTCCCTTTATAATAAAATTCCCTTACCTCGGTTCACATAACTCAATTCTTTAATGCTTTTGTTTCTCTTAATACAAGTTAAATATTCTGCTGCAATCATTTCTGCATTTAACTATTCTTTTATTTTCAAAGACACTATGGAAGCAAGTTTCAGTTCAGATCCCACCAAATCTCAACCAAGAAACTGAATAAAGAGCTATTAAGTTGCAGAGAGACTGAAAGATCTGTCTCACTTTATGTAACAGGAGAAACCTCGGATACCATTGGATGAAACCTTCGTTTACACAAAAGATTTTAGTCTGATGCTTTAGGGAAGAAACAGCTTTCACTGGCCACATTAGAGATTGGTTATTTGGGCTGACATTGGTGGCTTGCCACCATGATATGACACTTGGGTGATTGTTTATGGAGCCCATCCTGGCCTGGGAACTGTTTGTGTACTGCTCTGAGCACTCCTGTAGACAAGGTGTCTCTTGTAGACTCTGCACTTGGAGGCCCTGAAATGAGACTCCTGTGCAAGGTGGACAGCTGTCATCACATGGTCAGCATTTAGACTTGGCTCCACGGTATCAGACTGCAGTCACACATTTAGCCCATGGTGGCAACCAGCTTGAAGATCTTTAAGCCTAAGACATTGGGTTTGAAAAAAGAAGAAAAAGAAAGGAAGGAAGGAAGGAAGGAAGGAAGGAAGGAAGGAAGGAAGGAAGGAAG